CGAGGGATAATATTACTCACTAGTTGATTATCCATAAACACTGTTATTTTGATCAACCCCAAGTTACTCAAGCCTATGACCATAAGTGAATATTAAGTTCAATCACACTACAAACGGACAATATTGTTTAAACAGTTAATAATGAACCTTACACTAGGCTACCAGTAACAAGACGAACTCCAAAAATGGAAAAAAAAACTCTACTTAAAGTTACATCTGACAACTAAAGATACTTGAGAAACAAATATATACAATAGACAACGCCTATTGTATCCTAATGAACTGGTATATAATGCTAATTTACATAACTATGCATATTAAAGAACAACCACAGATACAGTACGACTGTCATCGTTGCAATAACAACGACCCAAAGATCAAATTATACAAAAACAAAAACATTAGATCATGGTCAGTTTTATTACGAACAGCCAATATCACCACAATGTTGAATACTGGTTCTTATTGTAAATATTTTCACCACAGACAAAAATACATAGTGGTTAGGTTCAGTGTACAGGAAGTATTTGTGCAAGAGATGCAAGCGGTGGTAACCTTAGACATACGGTACACTTAGAAGTGTAACACAAGGGATTACCAGAAGGTCAGACACCCCAGTTTATTTCACCTGAAGATTAACCAACCTTACGCTACCTGGGGAGTTAAGTTAGGGTAATTTATAATAGGCTAAGTTCGGTTAACGTTAGGGTAGGTTAAATTAAGTTACATTAAGTTAGGTTAGGTTAAGTTTAGCGTTACGGTGAGTTAGGCTATGTTAAGTTAGACTAAGAATGGATAAGTTTGGTTAAGTTAGGTTAGATTAGGGTAAGTTACGTTATATTAGGTTTAACTGTGTTAAGTTAATTTTGGTTAGGTTAAGTAAGCGTTGAGATTTAATCCTCGGGTAAAACAAGCTGGGGCATCAAATATTCAGACGCTCCAAATAAAGAACAAAACACTAAATATCTTCAAGTCGTCTCTAATAACCTTAGAGCATAGTTGTGTCTGCTCTGCCATCAACAAGGTTTACTTCTCGACACTGTAAAAAACAATTAAGTAATTCGAATTAAAAAGAAGATGCCGAAGCAGTGACCACGAGAAGTAATTTTCAGCTAATTCAATAATCATAAAAAAAATATTGTAAAATATTCTAAATATACGCTGTACTAAAATTTTGTAAGATTTAAATAAAACAAAATACAAATCACTTAATATATACGGCACAATTCACCTTAAACCTAAACCATACAACTACACATAAAACTATACAGTACGCAAAATACAAACACAAATTATTTCAATACTGTTCGTGGAGTAAAAATATGCAGATTATTATACCTAATACATATAAATACAGTATAGGCATATGTTACTATTCTACACACGCTAACTTCTACTTTTCAATCAATATAATGTGGATTAATTTTCTGTATACATTTTAGATGGAGAGATATATATTTTATTCACTAAAATCGTTATACAGGTTTACAATTAGGTCAGCGTGCTTCTCCTGAATTATCAACTACTATACTAAAATAGTCTGTTTGTTTTATGTCAATATGGCCACTAAAATACAAAGATAACATGAGATATTCCCAGTCCAGTACATTAGTTACTTGCTGGTGATGGTTGAGTGAGGGTGAGTAGCCGCTCTTGTGCCCTAACGCTGCACCACCTGAGTCTCAACCAAGTTTCATCAATAAAAAATTTAAAACCACACAGACACACACACACACACACACTCTGCTGGACGTTTTCTAGTAATAAAGTTGGATCATTTTACGTTGACAAACCAAAATAAACGAAATAAAAACTCGTGATTATTAACAACCATCGTGACCACTAGAGGGCGCACTATTACCTACCAGCAACGTATAGATCGTTATATGAATATTACCAACAATTTATATTATGACCTTCCAAAGCTGTATCCATCAAAATAATTATCAATATAACTCTAAGTCACCGGTACATCACTATTAATTTCAGTATATAAAAAAAAAAAGATATAAGCTATGAACTACAGAGAAAGTCATGTAATAATCTTTCAACGTGTAAAATTATGAATGTAATGTAAAACTAATTATTTAAAAAAGAAAAAAAAGAGGAAGTTCTGTGAAGGAATTCGATTAATGTACATAACTGGTTTGTGACGGATACAGCGGCCAACAATATAGACAACACACCACATACTGTACAACATAACTATACACAACACACCGCATACATCACACTATACACAACACACACCACATATATCACACTATACAAAACTCACCACATACATCACACTATACACATCACACCACATAAATCACACTTACACAACACACCACATGCATCACACTATACACAACACAACACATACTGTACATCACACTATACACAACACACCACATACTGTACAACATAACTATACACAACACACCACATACATCACACTATACACAACACACCACATACATCACACTATACACAACACACCACATGCATCACACTATACACAACACACCACATACTGTACATCACACTATACACAACACACCACATACATCACACTATACACAACACACCACATACTGTACATCACACTATACACAACACACCACATACATCACACTATACACAACACACCACATACTGTACATCACACTATACACAACACACCACATACATCACACTATACACAACACACCACATACTGTACATCACACTATACACAACACACCACATACATCACACTATACACAACACACCACATACTGTACATCACACTATACACAACACACCACATACATCACACTATACACAACACACCACATACTGTACATCACACTATACACAACACACCACATACATCACACTATACACAACACACCACATACTGTACATCACACTATACACAACACACCACATACATCACACTATACACAACACACCACATACTGTACATCACACTATACACAACACACCACATACATCACACTATACACAACACACCACATACTGTACATCACACTATACACAACACACCACATACATCACACTATACACAACACACCACATACTGTACATCACACTATACACAACACACCACATACATCACACTATACACAACACACCACATACTGTACATCACACTATACACAACACACCACATACATCACACTATACACAACACACCACATACTGTACATCACACTATACACAACACACCACATACATCACACTATACACAACACACCACATACTGTACATCACACTATACACAACACACCACATACATCACACTATACACAACACACCACATACTGTACATCACACTATACACAACACACCACATACATCACACTATACACAACACACCACATACTGTACATCACACTATACACAACACATCACATACATCACACTATACACAACACACCACATACTGTACATCACACTATACACAACACACCACATACATCACACTATACACAACACACCACATACTGTACATCACACTATACACAACACACCACATACTGTACATCACACTATACACAACACACCACATACATCACACTATACACACACACCACATACATCACACTATACACAACACACCACATACATCACACTATACACAACACACCACACATACATCACACTCATACAATAACACACCACATACATCACACTATACACAACACAATTACATACATCACACTATACACAACACAATTACATACATCTCACACCACACACAACACACCACATACATCACACTACACACAACACACCACATACATCACACTATACACAACACACCACATACATCACACTATACACAACATACCACATACATCACACTATATGCCAACATAACACATACATCACACTATACACAACACACCACATACTGTACATCACACTATACACAACACACCACATACTGTACATCACACTATACACAACACACCACATACATCACACTATACACAACACACCACATACAGCACACTATACACAACTCACCACATACATCACACTATACACACCACAACACATACATCACACTATACACAACACACCACATACTGTACATCACACTATACACAACACACCACATACATCACACTATACACAACACACCACATACATCACACTATTCACAACACATACTGTACATCACACTATACACAACACACCACATACATCACACTATTCACAACACATACTGTACATCACACTATACACAACACACCACATACATCACACTATACACTACACACCACATACATCACACTTCACATAACATACTACATATCACATACAACACACTACATACCACATACTACATACCACATCCAACACACTACACTCAACATACTACATACCACATACAACACACTACACACAACATACTACATAACACACTACACACAACATGCTACATACCACATACAACACACTTCACACAACATGCTACATACAACACACTTCACACAACACACCACATACAACACACTTCACACAACATACTACATACCACATACTACATACCACATCCAACACACTACACTCAACATACCACATACAACACACTACACACAACATACCACATACAACACACTACACACAACATGCTACATACCACATACAACACATTACACTCAACACACCACATACAACACACCACACACAACACACCACATACAACACACCACACACAACATACTACATACCACACACTACACACACTACACACAGCACCGTCTCGAATTCTACTACTGTGTCCGAAAAAATCTGGAACCACTGTGAAAATCGTTCTCTTTTACTGACTACCAATTCATAGCAATATTCTTTATACATTTACCCACCGATCCAAAGTTTTTCAGACCCCCCCCCAGACACCAGATACACACCCCCTCCCCCTTCCCCCAGACACACACCCCCACGCCCTTCCCCCAGACACACACCCCCACCCCCTTCCCCCAGATACACCCTCATCTCCCTTCCCCTAGACACACACCCCCACCCTGCCACCATAAACTCTACCAACAAATTATGGATATTATTTACCTTCTTCTCTCAGGTGTTATCATCATTGTTTTCACCAGAATCATTATTTATGCAAATTGTTAGGGCTACCTCCACAAACTTCATCATTCTTGTTACCTGCAACATCCTCACAATTTACTCTCATCAGCGTCATCTTCACCGCTATAAGTTACGATTTTATCATTACCTTCACCCATTTTTACGATCACCATCACTATTTTCAGTATATCATGAACTCGAACATCTATAACGCTTAATCCTGACAACGAGTGTTTCTTTGTCATGACCAGAATCAATATTACTGATATCAATATTAACGATACTATACTATACTATACTTGTTAAAAGTCATCATCAACAACAACATAATCACCAGCAGTCCTTACCAATAATGTTAATAGCATGTGACAATTTGTGGCATCGCCATTGGCTCCGACCTCTACCACAACTACTGTACTACTACTCCCGGGTATATAAGTCTTAACTCAACGTGTTAGTTTTTTTCTTTTTGCCGTGAGCCTTACACTCCTCATCATCACTCATGTCATGGCCGCCATACCTTCTAGCGGGATGCTCATGCCTTTTACCATTGGCAGGAGCGTCCCCATGGCCGCCGCTACTCTTACTGGCACCGTCAGCTTGACCGTCCTGAGAGCTATTGTTCATTACGGGGGCATCGTTTTCTTCTTCGCCAGCTTTGTCGGTGGTGGATTCGCCAACATCGTCGGTGGTGGATTCGCCAGCATTGTCGGTGGTGGATTCACCAACATTGTCGGTGGTGGATTCGCCAGCATTGTCGGTGGTGGATTTGACAGCAATGTCGGTGGTGGGTTCGCCAGCATTGTCGGTGGTGGATTCGCCAACATTGTCGGTGGTGGATTCGACAGCATTGTCGGTGGTGGATTCGCCAGCATTGTCGGTGGTGGATTCGCCAGCATTGTCGGTGGTGGATTCGACAGCATTGTCGGTGGTGGATTCGACAGCATTGTCGGTGGTGGATTCGCCAGGATCACCGCCACGCTTCACTGCATTCAGGCGCTTGTCTAGGAACTTGAAGATACTCTGGAAGCTGGCCCAAGACGTCATCTCGTGTACGGTCACACCTGTGGAAGAAGTAAAATAAGAACTTAACTATATAGTAGGCATTCACAGGCACACAAACGCAGTTCAAATGTCACACTACTGCTATTTCTACCAGGTAGAGCAACGGGAGTCTCCTGTGCAGTGAAACTTCATGTCAATGAACTACAGCATATAAAGAGAGAAGTCCGTTAGATCGAAGTCCCCATATGACGGACTATATCCGTCATATCGAGGTCTGTTAGGTGGAGGTTTCTCTGTATATTATAAGACCATCTTCATTCCTATACGAGAAATCCAAGCACACCGTTAAGGCACACTCACTCCCAGAAGAGAGACCCTGGAACAGCACTCGTGCAGGTAGGTAAATACGCCCTGTTGTCTCAGCTTATTATTCTCCCCCTCCCGCCTAACCCTCCCTCGCTGCCCCTACCGCCCCCTCCCTGCAGTGTACCCTGAGACGTGTACCACTGGACGCAGGTCACAAGACAGGTACGATTAGCACCATGTTTGGTTCACAGCCTAACATCATTTATTCCACTGTACTCAGGATAAAATGTCAACGCCTTCAACCCTTCAACGCAAATGTTATCGTAGATGGGAAAAATGAAAAAAAAATGGACAGATTAGGAGATAAAGAGGTATATAGATAAATAGAGAGAGAACTTTCACCTTGTTGCTGACCTTCTCACGCCTCTCTTTCTCGTGTGACTCGCCCCCATGTAAACAATGAGTACGTCCAGCACCAGGTGTGGTATTGCTGAGTGTGGGTGGTGGTTGGGTAACACAGTGTGACCCCTCACTCACGCCACACTCTCAGTATTCACCACACTGTCTAGCTAACACGGTCACACCCACCGACCACCTCTAACAACACGAAAAGAGAACTTACAATTTCTCTACCCACAAGAGCGTCTCACTACGTCATTTTCTCTCATCATCAGTCCCATCACCTTCCCTTAGCTCCATTTTTGAAGATACGCACCAAAACAAAGGTAACTGACAAGTTTACAGAGGCCAAAAACACATCACAATAATACGAGGTACAAACAAGGAGGTGTGGGTCCGTATTGTGAAATAGCCTAAACTAGTTTCTTGTCATTTCTTCCTTATCCGGATATGGGAGCACGCATCTAGTCTACTTACTCCAAAATCATCGTACACTTTCGACACTATTCTTGGCACTAATTTTTTGCATTAGTTTCAATTTAGGTTAAATTTAACGTACAGAACATAGAAAGGAGACCGGGATGGGGTAACCTGTTAGCTTGGTAGTTAAAGGCCGCTCCGAGACAAAAGGACGCGTGTCTCGGAGGCCAAATATTGGTTCTGTAAATACTGGACATGAGGCGCGAATTTAATTATGAAGAAAGAGAGAAAGACAGAGAGACAGACAGGAAGAGAGAGAAACTCGTGTGTCTGGGTTTACTTCATAACCACATCACGTGACGTCCCCTCGTAGTTTTCTCACTTTGGTAGGTAGGTTGCTTCACTTACTCTCGACACTTGCCTCACTGACTAACTCTCCTCATCTACTGCTGACGTTAGGAAAGGATCTGCTCTGATATACATGCACGAACCTCGTACTTACCCCCCTCCCCCCACCCCGACGCAAGTTGCTGGTGGCGTTAAGAACAAAAACCTCGACCTCCCCTGACTGGACACAGACCCAAGAAAACTTTTGAGTGGTTGGGATTTTCTCAAGCTGTTTATTATTATTACTTTCATTACCATTATCATTATTATTATTATTATTATTATTATTATTATTATTATTGTTGTTGTTGTTGACCATCAGAACACATTTAGTGGGATTTTGTCAGTTATATTACCATATTCTGGTGACGTGATTTGGTCACGTGGGAAATATTGTGTGGCTTTGTTGACATGCGGATGGGGATTTGGCAGCACTGGATTTACTTCGGGATGAAAATGAATCACAACACAGCAAGTGACTCCTAGCTGTGTAGCGGTTCATCTCAACACAGCCAATGGCATATGGCTAGGTAGAGATGAACGAAAATACATCTATGAACCACTTGCTGTGTTTGAGGTGAGTCATAACACAGTCATGAACCACTTGCTGTGTTGAGAGGAACCAAAACACAGCCATAAACCACTTGCTGTGTTGAGGTAAGCCATAATACAACCATGAAACACTTGTTGTATTTCAGGTAAACTATAACACAGTCATGAACCACTTGCTGTGTTGAGAGGAACCAAAACACAGCCATGAACCACTTGCTGTGTTGAGGTAAGCCATAATACAACCATGAAACACTTGTTGTATTTCAGGTAAACTATAACATAGTCATGAACCACTTGCTGTGTTGAGAGGAACCAAAACAGCCATGAACCACTTGCTGTGTTGAGGTGAGCCATAACACAACAACGAGCTACTTGCTGTGTTTGAGGTGAGCCGCCAGGGAGGCAGTAATCAGGCAGTGAGCCGTGGGCGGTAATCCTGCACTAATCTGTTAATCCGCCACAGCGTGACCGCCCGCGCCGCCCCGCACCACGCCTGGCTCAGCTGATAGCGAGGGCGTGTGGGGGTAAGGGCAGGGGAAGGGAGCACTGCCTCTTCCTCTGCCTCTCCTAACAACCAGACAATGACAGGTCCTAAACACACACATACACACACAGACGTACAGAAACACACCTCATAACCTTAAAACACTGGAAGGTTTATCACAAATCAGTCAGCAAAAGCAAATACCCTTATTATTATTATTATTATTATTATTATTATTATCCCCGCTAGTAAAAGGAATGTAAAATATTGCAATAGGCTCTCACTTTTCTAACATAACTAAAACACCCACTAAACTTTTAACATAATACAGAACAAGACGTAACGAACTAGCGAGCCAATCTTGATGAAACCTGACAGGTAGGCGAAGAGAGTGCGGATAGGTCATGGCATATGGTCAACAGGTGTGTACGTATAAAGAAGTACTAAAAGCAGCAGGTAGAGGGTTAGCACTCTAATGACCAGGGTTTATTTTTTTTACGGTCAAATCACCTGTATGGTTTATTATATTAATTAGTAAGTGTTTGCAGGGGTTATGAGTAGTTCTATGTTTGTCTTTTATATCGATTTGTGGATGAATTTTAAATGTTGATTATTATTACTGTTCATTATTATTATTATTATTATTATTATTATTATTATTGTTATTATTATCGTCGTTATTACTATCATCAGTATTATAATAATTATTATAAATATTATTATTATTATTATTATCATTATTCTTACCATTATTTATTTATCATCATTATTATCACCAATATTATTATTTTATCAGCGTTATTGTCATCATCAGTATTATAATAATTATTATTATCATTATCATTATTAATATTATTATCATCATCATTATTCGGTGCTACCTATACTCTATAGTATGCGGTCTACCGAGCTGAAGTTGTGTCTATCGAGATGTTTACCTAACCTAACTTAACCTAACCTAGGTTAGATTAAGATATATTTGATTAACTTAGGTTAGGTTAAGATATACAGTATTCGATTAAGTTAGGTTGGGTTGATAGGTCCTACGGTGTAAATATTCAGGTAGACCAACTCCAGCTCGGTAGACCGCATACAATAGTTACTTAGTAGCACCCATTATTCTTACTGTTATTATTATCGTCAATATTATTATTAATATTATCACTATCATCATTAATATTATTATTATTATTATTATCTGTTATTATTATTATTATTATTATTATTATTATTATCATCTATTATTATTATTATTATTATTATTATTATTATTATTATTATTATCATTATTATTATCATTATAATTATTATTATCATCATCATCATCATCATCAAATGCTCAGCTATCATCTTCGTTCACTCTAGACAAACATATTCCATTATATACTGTGCATGATAACAAAACACTGCGAGTCAATATAACACTACACCAGCTGCTGAGATAAATAGGCTTTTAAAATTTGGCAGTGAGGCGGTGTGTTGACTGTGTATACATGGGGTGTAAACACAAGGGCGGTACACACAGGGGGAGATACACACACAGGGGGAGATACACACACAGGGGAAGTAACACACAGGGAGAGGTACACACAAAGGGGTTACACACGGGGTTTACACACAGGGATTCACAAAAGAGTGACTCCCTAAATCAGGTTCAGCGTCTGGCACCATCAACAACGGCCTCAGCAGCTACAACCAGCAATCTACCGGGCAGCTGACGAACTTGTCACTGACCAGCCGACCACAACGCCTAACACCAGGTCACAGTACATCACCAAGAAAAACTGCTAAATATCTTCTATACTCTGGATAGATAACTAAATCTAATAACATAACAGATATTATTTTTTAACAACAGAAATAAATGCAAAAACCAGCTGACGAAAGAGGCAATTTAACCGCAGAGAACTACACATTTTTATGATAATTCCTGTAACTAGCAGACAAGCCAGAAGCAAACTCGAAAATGATTTCTCCCCAGCCAAGGCAGGACCCAGCCACAAAATTCGACCGATACACAAACAAACCACATTTTAAAACTTGCTTCCTCTATCACACACTGGGATTGGCAATCAAGTACTGCGTCACGATATATTTTCATTCAGATTTTTGACACAAGTAAAACTGGTCTCTAAAAAAAGGTCTGGGTTTAGGTCTATTTATCTAAAATTTCAATTTGAACATTCCCTTAACACGACGAGCTCTCCGGTCGAAATAAAATCTAAGGGATACCATTACCTTGTTTAAGAAATGCACAGCTTTTATAGTCGATATCGTGTGTATATGTGTGTGTGTTTCTATGTGTATATGTATATGTCTGTGTGTGTGTGTATCACCAAGTACAGATATCAGTTTACGTGTAATCAAAATGTTTTTTACGTAATGTCCCTGACTGGTGCGTGGAGGTGAACAACAAAATGGTGGCGGGTAGTGGATCAACAGGATGAGTGGGGGCGACGCGTTAGTTAGTTATCCGCTGCGACACCTTCACTCAATGACCCACCACCACAC